ATTGTTTTAATAGTTCATTTGGGAAATGTCTTGATTTCTTTTTAAATTTTGTCTAGTCTATCCAAAAAATATTGGATTAATATTCTCCAAAGTGTAATTCATGGAAAATTGGATGAGCTTCCGTCCACAGGTCTAACTATAAAATCCAAACGGGAATTGATTAGATAAAGCCAGTCAAGAGGTTAGTAGTGACTTTCTCAATCTTTGTTTTGTCGATCAGAAATCGGTCAATCAAGTCGACTAATTTCCATCAACTAGACTCACTTCCATGGTTAATGAAAATTAAAAAAAATTTTTTTTAAAGTCACTCCCTTCAATGATATTTGAAAAAATTTGATTTTCCAAAAGTGGTCAAACAAACATTTGATTTTATTTCCAAATACTTCACGTTCCTCTTTAAAAATAATTTATTTAAAAAAATATTTTTTTAAATAAATCATTAAATATTTTTTATTTGTTAAAATACTCCAAGTGTTGTTATCAGTACGAAACTTTAAAAATTATTAATCCATTCCCAGGATTAACTCACTACCGGAAGTCTCCCCCACCCTTCCTTTATGTTTGTATTCAATGGAATTAATTTTAAAGTATTAAAATATTTTTTTTTAATTTTGTTGGCAATTTATCAAGTGAGAAATATATTTATTATTTTTAAAATTATCCTAGCAATTAAAAATATTTAAAATATTTATAATGCTTTTAAGCATATACATAGACGCTTATTTTTGTATGACCATTAGACGTATTATTATAATTAATTTTATTAATTCCTTCAAGTTTGTAAACTTAGAATTAGATAAATTTCGTTTTTTAAGATTAAGCTTAAAAAGTTTTATTTTTTCAAGTTTACAATCTGAAAAAGTTTGAAACATTTTTCCAAGTTTAATTTTCCAAGTTTATTTTTTTAAGTTTACAATTTCAAAAGTTTCAAGTTTACAATCTGAAAGAGTTTAAAACTTTTTTCCAAGTTTATTTTCTCAAGTTTACTTTTCCAAGTTTATTTTCAATGTTTACTTTTCAAGCTTACAATCTCTTAGGTTTCAAGTTTTCATATGAAAAAGTTTAAAACTTTTTTCCAGGTTTAATTTTTCAAGTTTATTTTTCTACCTTATTTTTCAACCTTATTTTTAAGTTTGCTTTTTCAAGTTTATTTTTTGTTTTCTACCAGAAATTAGAATCAGAATATAAATATCAGAATTTAAAAAGGAAAAATAAAATTCTGGTATTTTTATAAATGTAATACAGTCAATATTATATCCTCTCTTGGACTAAAAATAATAGATGAGTGACAACCTAATTTTTTATTTTTAATAGTGAGGGAGGATGACTTATTAATTTATTTTGGGAGAGAAAGGCTTATATTCTCACATTATAAAAATTTTCCTCAAAAAACTAGGAAATGCTAATTAGGACGACTGACTGTTATTATTAAATAAATATATGGGTGTGTGCATTTGACAGTGCTAGAATGTTTTGGCAGTCATTATTAGAATATTTTTAAAAATAAAATGACGTTAACTCTTGAAATTTGTTTTTCTGAAAATTGGGCTAATTTAATTATTAGATAAATATAAAGATATTTTTGTCTCACAATTCTGCAAAAAATTATTTTGGGGAAGAAGAGGTTATATTCTTCCCCTAATATTATTTTTAGCAATTTTATACTCTAATCCCCCCAAAATTCTAATTAGGCTTTATCCTTTATAAATATCCTCCTCATTTCCTTTTTACCACTAAAATATATGTAGAGTATATTTCATTGTTATAATTATTTTAGTATTACTTTGTTCACACTTTACATAATTTATTATTCCGGTTATGTACATATACCTTGATGTTTTGTTTGTATTATAAAATTTTTTCTTTTGTTAAGTTTGCAACTTGATGTTTTATTTCTTTTCAAGATTAAACTTGAAAGATTATTCAACCTTTTCAAGTTTGTAATCTTTGAGTTTTTATTTTTACAAGCCTGAACTTAAAACTTTATTAAAACTTTTTTCAAGCTTGAACTTAAAACTTTATTCAACATTTTCAAGTTTGAACTTAGAACTTTATTCAACATTTTCAAGTTTGAACTTGAAACAAGTTTAAGCTTAAAACTTTATTCAGCCTTCATTCAAGTTATAATCTTTTTTTAGTTTGTGACTTTTTAGGTTGCAAACTTAATTACCTATTACTATTTCCAAGTTTGCAACATTAAAATTTTACAAGTTTGAGATATCTAATTATTTTTGTTTCTCAAATTCTCTCATTAGTAGGAATGTTGCTGAATTTTTTTAAAACTTCCAAAAGAGATAGAATTTCACAAGTTTCTTTATTTTACTATTTTCTGGGAGTCCCTTTCAAGCTTAATTATTTTTTATATCTATATTATTTGATAATGCTTAGAATTTGCAGATAAATTTAAAAATTTTTTTTAAAAATTTTTTTTAAATTTCTGTTACAAATTTATTTTTAAATTAAGCCAAGGACTGTTTATTTAAACAAAAGTTCCTTTATAGTGGGAGGAATAATTAATCTCCTTTATTAACCCTCCTCTTTTTTTATTTAATTACTCATTTAATTATTATGAGTACTTAAATAATTAATAATTACTCATTTAATTAATTTAATTACTCATTTAAGCTTTCTATTCTCTTTGGCAATGTCAATAAATTTTATTTTTAATTTTTATTTTTCAAACATACTCCCTAATTTTTAAAAATTACCCTTATTTTTATTTTTTCAATTATTTTCTAAAAAAAATAATTAAATAAATAAAATCAATCTTTAATTTATTTGAGTGATTTTTACTTAAAAATAAATCCAATTTCACCTGCCTATGTGTCTACTTTTAATATTACTAATATAAATTTACTAATATAAATTTACAAAAATATTCCAAAGACCACCCTGAAAAGCAATATTGTTAAAAATACCCTCCACTTCATTATCTTTGCAGAAAAATAAAAAAAATAAATAAAAAAGGAACGAAAAATAAAAGAAAAATCTAAACTTGGGTGAAAAAAAGTTGATAAAATTAGAAAATAAAAAGTATAAGGAACTAAGCTTAGTGGAGAAGGAATAGGCTTAAAAGGGGTTGAAAAATGAGTAGAGGAGATAATTTAATAAAAGCTTTATATTTTTATTTCTTTTGTTTTTCCTATTGTTTTTCGTCATAAATAAATAATTTTATTTTATTTTTGTCCAAAAACTATTTATTTATTTTATAAAATTTTTGTTAGAATTTATAAAATTAAAAATATTTTTTTAAACTGTTTTAGCGTTCTGGACTTTTAGGATTTTCGAGAAATAATTTTTGGGGAATTTTTTTGAAGAAAATTTTCCTAAACAATTTTATGTCTTACGAACTTTTACGATTTTCGAGAAAATTTTTTTTAATTTTCGGAAATGCATTAAATTCAGTATATTAATTAAACTCTTCTGGACTTTAAGTAATTTCAGAAAAAATTTTTTGGATTTTAGATTTTCGAAATTTTCAAAAAAAAATTTTTAAACAATTTTAGACCTTCATAACTTTAGGATTTTTCAAAAAAAAATTTTTTTCGGATTTTGGTAAAGTTTATAAAATTTAATTAAACTACAATTATAACGCCACGCAAGCTCCACGCAAGCTAATAGAGGTCGTTAACTTTGGTCATAATTTCAAAAGAAAAATTCAAGCTGGTCTATATAAAAATATTTAAATACAATTTAAATAATTAACTTCCTCTATTTTACAAAGAACAATGATTATATTTCATAGAATATACTTAAAATTATGAATAAATTGTGGAAAAAGCCTAGCTTGCGTGACACTGTTTGATTAGCATTTTTAACACTTAAAAGAAGCAATTAAAAATTTAAATATTTATTTGGTTGACAACTTTTACTTTGATTAATTATTTCATAAATTTGTGCTCTCGAAGCACTCTTTACAAATTTTTTTATAAAATTGTCTTTAGTAAAGAACACTTTAATTTCTAACATCCATATCGAATAGCAAATTAATTTAAAAAATAAAATTTCAAAAGCTAAGAAACAAAAAGGAAGAACATTCTTTCTTATGCCATAAAAGATGAAAGAATCGAAAGTCTGCCCAAAATCTGCCCCAATCCCAGAATCCCCCCCCCCCCTCCCTCTCAAAAATCTCCCCAAGTCCTCTCAAATCTTGACTAAAGTCTCCTCCTTCCCATCGAATTTTTATTTCCCTACAAATTTAAATTTAGGTAATAATCCCCTTAATTTTCCCCACCATTGCTCTCAAATCCTTGTTTCCCTTTAAGTAATCTAAAATTTTTAAACCATCGAAATTTAATTATTCCACATATTTTTTCAGAAAAATAGCAAAATATAAGTCTTAATTTAATTTTATAAAAATCCTATATCCATTACTTGATCCTTCAATTCCCCCCAACAAAAACACAAATGTCTCAAAATAAAATCTTAATTAAAAAGCCAATGCTTGAAACAACAAATTTCAATCAAGAACAACCATCATCTACTAAAAGTATTGTTAATGAAGTAATTATATCAGCAATAGATTGTGATGCGGAAATGACCCCTCCTCCATTAAACGATCTCTCACAAATAATTTATTCTGTTTTGATGCCTGTTGTTTGCCTTCTTGGTTAGATTATTAAAGTTTTATTATACTCCTTCCGGAAGGAGAGAATCTTTTCGGAAAAAGACAAAAAGGACAATATAATTTTCCGGAAAAGAGAGAGAATAATTTTCCGGAAAGAGAAATAAAATCCTTCCGTAAAATTAAATACTATATTCCTTCAGGAAAAAGATTATAAATTTCCGGAAGAAGCGAATATAATTTTTCCGGAAAACTTAAGTATATTTCAAAACATACTTGAATAATAGAACAATCTTAAGTTTTGTAAACTCTATATAATTTCCGGAAGGTTATAGAATTGTTATGAACTTAAGTTTGCAAACTTAAGTTTTTAACATCCTGGAATATTTCGTAAACTTAAATAAAACTTAAAAATATTTAAATTATTTTTAAGGTGTTGTGGGTGCCATAATTTGTGTATTTATTTTTACGCGCCGTCAGATGCGCTCATCATTATCAATTTATTTGGCTGCCCTATCTTTTTTCGATTTTGTGCTTCTCCTCTGCGCGGCAATAATATATCCTAGTATGAATATGTGCTTACAGGAGGTTCTTAATCTTTGAATTATTTTGAAAAAATTGCTCATTCTCAGGGCAATCGTGGCCCCATTTGTCATTTCTTTTGGAGAACATCACTTGCCACATATCCACTCTCCTTAATGGCTCAAACAGCAAGTGTTTGGACAGTAATAGCAATCACAGTTGATCGGTACCTGGCTGTGCGTTATCCTCTGCATATGAGAGCTTGGTAGGTTAATGAATATTAACTTTGTGGAAATAATGTAGAATGTCTTTTCTATTTCCGGAAATATCTTAAAAAGGTTTAGAAATGTTTTATAATTTAAGTTTTCCGGAAAAAAGCTAAAAACATTAAGTTTGCGAACTTAATAAACCTTCCGGACTTCTATTTCCGGAAATATACTAGAATGAACTTTCCGGACTTGTATTTCCGGAAATACCTTAGAAAAGGCTTAGAAATGTTTTACTATTTAAGTTTTCCGGAAGAGAGCTAAAAACATTAAGTTTGCGAACTTAATGAACTTTCCGTACTAAAATATTACGAATTATTACAATTTAAAAAACTTAAGTTTGCAAACCTAAGGTTAACTTTTCCGGAACAACTTTTCCGGAAAACCACTATTTATTATTACAAAAAAGTCTAAAAATACCTAAAAATAACTGTTACAGTATTGAAACCGAGAAAAAAGGGGTGGCGCTATACTTTTGTGGAGCAGTGTAGTTAACATTTTCCGGAATAAAATATAAAAATTATTATTGTAAAGCAATAATTATGTTTACAAACTTAATTTCTCTTTGAAGGTGTACCGCAAATAGAGCTAGAACAGTTGTTTTATTTATTACAATTATTGCAATCCTATTCAAAATGCCCTCATTTTTTGAAGTTACACTTAATGAATGTGGCCATTTAATGAAAACATCTTTGAGAGATCATCATCTTTATTTTACAATTTATTACACTTATGGTGGGGATTTTGTGTTTAATTTTTAAAATTTATTTTGTGTTTTTTAGGTTATTTATTATTAATGTTAGCTACCCCATTCCTTTTCATAATCGTTTTAAATGCTCGGATTTTGTCAATTATTCACCGAGCAAATTTAGAGAGATATCGAATGAATGTTGTTAGAAGGTAAAAAAATTTTTTTTAATTTTCAAAAATTTTCAAAAAATTTTCAAAAAATTTTCTTAAAATTTTAAGAATTTTCAAAAAAAATTTCAAAAAAAAATCAAAAAAAAATTTTTTTCAGGTCATCTAGACTAACTCGAAGCAGTCAAGGAAGTAATGGTTGTGTTGTAAAACGAGAAAGTAACAATAGCACAACTTGGGTAACAACTCAACTAGTACAAACTAAACAACAAAACGGTTCTAAAGATTCGTTTTCGGGAGGAAAAGTTTTACAAAACAACAATAATACTTCAAACATTAATTCAAACATTTCATCAAATTGCGAAAAACATCAAGTTATTGAAACTATTAGTGGTAATTTTTATTGCTATAAAACTTTCCGGAAAATTTGGAGTTGTGAAACTTATTGTAGTTATAGAAAATGTTTTTTTACAATTTTGATTTTAATAGTTTTACAAACTTACCGGAAAGTTTGAAGTTTTCCGGAAAAATAATAATATTACTGATTTATTCGCAAACTTAAAAAAACTTAAGTTATAACTTTTCCGGAAAACTTATAATATTATTTTTAATTACAAACTTGACGGAAACTTCAAACTTTTCCGGAAAAATATTAATTGTAATTATTGCTATATTTATTCGCAAACAAAAAAACTGAGTTTAAAGTTTTCCGGAAAATAATAAGGCTAGTTTTTATCCACAAACTTAACGGAAACATTTTACAATATTATGTTTCCGGAAATAAAATTAAAAATACTAGAACTATTACAAACTTGAGTTTAAGGCTTTCCGGAAAACTTATTATGTTTATCAATTACAAACTTGACGCGAACTTTAAAGTTTCCGGAAAATAATAATGTCTTTATTCAAACTTAACTGAAACATCTTACAATATAAGTTTCCGGAAATAAAATTAAAAATACTTGAGTTTAACGTTCAAGTAAATTAATATTCATTACAAACTTAACGGATTCCTTGTTTATCATTTTTACTAAAAATTGCATGATTTAATTAATAAAATTATTGCTTTTAGGAATTATTGAGAACAATAATCGTTGCACAAAAATGGCTATTGTAATTATTGCTTCATTTATTGCTTTCAATTTCTTAGCTGGTTAGAGTTTAATTTAAACAGAAAATAATTTTTTCTAATTTATTCAGGTGTAAATCACGTAATTGAAGCATTTAATCTTATGCAAGATGATGGTCAAAATTTGCGAATTCCTATCGGGAATTTTTTGGTTTGCCTAAATAGGTGAGGAATCCTTCCAAAATTATTTTTAAAAAAAAATTTATTTTTAGTGCCACAAATATTTTAATTTATTCAATTTTTGGCCGTCGATTTCGAAAAATGTTTGTCTTTCAATTTTGCCCATGCTGGCGAAGAAAATATTCGGAATTAAACAGAAGTCTATACCAAAATAATTATAAAAATGCTGATTTGCTCTAAAAAAAGAATTTAATTGATAACTTTACATATCTCGAATATAAGCTTTAAATAAAATAAATTTGCAAGAATTTTTATTTAATAAATGATTATTTAATAAATATTAATTTAAATGATATTGTTAAGATTGTAAAAACATTTTTAAGACATAAGGTATTTTCCATAAACATTCCGGAAACTTATTAGAAATTTTCCGGAAAATTGTACAACATTTTTAAGTTTGTAAAACATTTTTCCGGAAAAGATTCCGGAAACATTTTTTAATTTTATAAACTTAAAAACATTCCGGAACTTAATTAAATATTTTCCGGAAGGCTGTAAGAGGATTGTAATAAAATTAATTTTATTAACATTCCGGAAAGTTATTAAAACATTTTTCCGGAAAGTTGTAAAACATTTTATAAACTTTAAAAACATTCCGGAACTTAATTAAATATTTTCCGGAAGGTTGTAAGAGAGAGAGAGTAATAAAATTAATAAACCTTCCGGAAAAGGGGTTGTAAAACATTTCTAGCCTTTATAAACATTCCGGAAATTTATTGAGCATTTTTCCGGAAAGTTGTAAAATTATTTTGTAAAATTGTAAACTTAAGTTTCCAAAAATTGTACTATTTTTCCTCTAAATATTACAGTATTCAGCAAGTAACTAAATTTTAATTCAAACATTTTGATAAGGCGCAAAAGGCACAGAGTATTCCGAACTGAATAAATCTGTGCTACTATTTGCTTGTTGTTCAGTTCTTTTATAAAACTTAGTTGACTTGATGGTAGAGAATTGAGAATTATTAGTTGGTTGGTCATTCCTTTCACGTAGGAGAGTTGAATAGTTCGATCGAATATGAGTTAAATCCAACCGAGGAGGAGTCAGTAATTCCAGATTAGCTGTTATAGAGTCGCATATTGAAGGATTCTTTTTGATCTTTTTGTTGTCAGAAACTTTTTTACTTGATGAGCGCCAAAAGAACTGAAGGCAGAGAACAATCTATAAAATTTTTTTGAATAGAAAAATTTTTTTTGTTTTCTGCCTAAGAGATGGGTCGGAATTCCGATTTCCGAAAAAAATTTGATTTCCGATTTCTGAGTTCCGACTTTTGAGACAGTTCCGATTTCCGACAGTTCCGATTTCCGATAACTCTGACTGTCCCGACCCACCTCTGTTGCTTACTTGCCTGAACAATTAAAATAGTCACAAGCATCCCCTGAGTGATATACTGAGCAATACCATCATTGCACAAATAAATAGGTCCATTTGACAGGTGTTGATCAACGTCGTCCACGTTATTTATATGAACACAATGTGTCGGATAATAAGAATATTCCGGTCGCATACAAAGAGTGTTTGGTGGACACAGATTTCCAGAACAGTTGCGAAGGTCGTAATTCAACACCCAACGTTTATAACCCGTAGGGAATGATGACATTGCTGAGGAATACTTAGTAGAATTAAGTTGGTTGTAGGTAGTTGAGTTAGTATTATTGCTCATTAAAGATTTTAATCTGATAAAAATTTATTTTTTATTTTACAAATTAAAATACCAATGAAATATAAATAAGTTTGTAATTGTAAACTACAAACTCGAAAATTTTTAAATAAACATGTTTTGTAATTGTAAAATAAAAAACTTGAAAAGTGCTAAACATAACACGGTGTTTGTAACTGTAAAACATGTTTTGTTCAACTGTGTTTTGTTTAAAACTTGTCAAGTTGCTTATTTTACAATTACAAAACATTGTTCTTATTGTTAATTGATAAACTTTCTTCAAGTTTATTTTAATTTTGTAATTGTAAAATTAAAATGAACTTGGAAAAACGAAGTTTTAACACTAAAAACACAACAATGTTTTAGTCAAATGTTAGTTTAACTAGAATTGTTTATTTTGAAAAACCCAAGTTTGAGTTTAAGATTTAAAAAAAAATCGATTCATTGATTTTAAAAAATGTCATCAAAAGAACTTGCGGAAATTCGCAAAATTCTTACTGATCTTCAAACAAAAATTAACAACATTGAAAATAAAATACCAGCAATTAATACGATTTCCGAAAGCCTTGAAAAAATTCAAAATCAATTCAATAAAATTAATAATGAGCAAAGTGCCGATGAAAAAGAGAGAAAAAGAAGCTTGGTATTTACTCGTATGCCGGAAAGTGAAAAGACAAAACCATCTGCTCGACAAGCCGATGATCACCAAATGGTAAAGTGCGTACTCGACGAGTTGGGCGTCGAGTGCTCTGCGGTTGTATATCGCATGGGTGTTCATGACCCAACAAAAAAAGGTTTGCGTCTTTTAAAGGTGATCTTGCCGGCGCGGCGTTTTCAAATTCAGGCTTTAAAAAATTGGACTAAAAAACGTGACACAATTCGTCAACTGGTTGGAAGTGATAAATTTGCAATTCGTTGGTCAGAAACAGCTGAAGAAAGAGCGGAGAAGAAAGAAAATTGGCAAACCAGAAATATAAGTGATCGACGTAAAATCTTGAATGAAAAAAACTCTTAGTGCCACAATGCAGTGATTTAAGGTTTAATTATTTTTCTTTTAAACAGAATTTTACATATACTTATAACAAACCACTTACATGCACAAATCCCGGGAAAAAGAATTTTAATGAGGAAATTAATACAAAAAAGATTAAAAATAACCCCCTTTACCGTTTAAACCTAATAAATCAAAAAATCAATCCCAAATTAAAATGTATATATTTTAACTCAAGATCTATACTTAACAAATTACCAACTTTAGAATACATAATCTCCACAGAAAATCCCGATTTTTTATTCATCACCGAGACTTGGATAACTAATAATCACAAGATCATTTCTGAACTATCATTCAGTAATCTTTTCCAGGTTTTCCTCACAAATAGAAATAATAAAAGGGGCGGTGGGATTGCATTCCTAGCTAAATCCAAATTTAATTGTAATCTAGTCTCCTCTACATCATTTTACGGAATAGACCTGCTAATTATCGATTATTTTCCAAAAAACAAAAAGTCCATTCGATTTGGACTTATATATCGACCACCAAACACAAAGAAACTCCACACTGAAAAAATATTTACCAAACTCTCAAAATTCCATCAGGAAGATTTCATTATATGTGGTGATTTTAATTTACCGGGAATAGATTGGAATAACCCTAATAATCCTACCAACACAGACAGTTCGATTATTGATTTCTGTCATAATTTCCTTTTTAATCAACTCATTTTAGAACCAACTCACCAATCAGGTTCCATCCTTGATCTCTTACTAACAAATAATACCACTCTTTTCGCCAACTATGAGGTCAAGGATGGCATATCTGATCACTTTTCAATACATTTTCAGCTAAACTCTATTCCTCAAAATAATAAACCAATCCAAATCCGAGACATGTCCAATAAAAATATTGATAAACTAAGAAACGCATTAAACTATACCAATTTCTGTCATCTTAATAATTTCTATACAATTGATTCAAAATATTCTGAATTCCTAAATACCCTCAAAAACCAGATCGATCTGAGTATTCCTAATAAAACAATTTCAACCACACCTGAAAATAAAAGAATTAAATATCCAAGATATATTAGTAGTTTAATTAACAAGAAACTATTAATTTTCCGCCGTATGAAAGCAAATAACTATAACATTAAACTAAAAAAACAATATCAAGATATCTGTAAAACCACCAAATTCATTATTAACCAATTCCACAGTCAAAAAATAAGGGGTATAGTTTCAGATTATAATAAACTTCATAAATTTATAAAACACCGTACAAAAAATAATGATCCAATCCCAACTCTTGAAATAGATAACAGAATTATTACTGAGGAAGCTGATAAATGTTATATTTTTGGAAATATGTTCTCAAAATACTTTGAGAATGTTCCCTCCAGAGATCCTCCTACACTTCCCAAATATTCTAACCATAATCTAAATGATGTAAACTTTGATATTATAACAGTGGCTAACGCACTCAAAAATTCCCCAGCAAAAAATTCAACCTCATCGGAAGGTATAAGCTATAAAATATTAAAACATTGTTACCTACCACTATCTCCAGTAATAACCGAACTATTCAGAACATCACTAGACAATGGTAAAATTCCCAAACAATGGAAAGAATCTATCATCATCCCAATATTCAAAAAAGGGCTAAAATCAAATCCATCAAATTATCGTCCTATCTCCCTAACCAGCACCATCTGCAGAGTATTTGAAAAAATCATATCCCAACAAATCATTAGCTTCCTCATGACAAATAATTTAATTAATCCCAATCAATTCGGTTTCCTAAAGGGGAGGTCTACAATTACCCAGCTTATTTCTACATTACAAACATGGTATGAAACAATATTAAAGGGTGAATCTACAGATTGTATATATATTGATTTCCGCAAAGCATTTGACTCCGTACCTATTCAGTTTTTAATTTATAAGTTAGAAAATTTAGGTATTAGTGGAAAACTCTTAAGTTGGATTGAAGACTTTCTCACTAATAGGACCTTTCGGGTAAAAATTGGGGAAAGTCTCTCTTCTTCATACGAAATCAAATCGGGTGTACCCCAGGGGTCGGTCCTCGGCCCACTTCTTTTTCTTGTCTATATAAATGATCTCCCTGGGGTACTTCCCCAACACCTACACATAAAACTATATGCAGACGATGCAAAAATTTACGAGCACTTTGACAATAATAACTCCAAATTATTACAAAAAGGACTGAATTCGATAAATAAATGGAGTCAGGACTGGGCCCTTCCAATAGCACATGATAAAACTTTTATTCTTCATATCGGTAAAAATAACACTGGTATAAAATACAAAATTAATGATATTATCCTCCAAGAAACCTCATCTATTAGGGATTTAGGTATCGAAATCACAAAATCTCTCTCCTTTAATTCCCACATCAACAAAATTGTTAAAAATGCATTCTACCGCTCCATTCAACTTTTAAGGACTATTCACTCAACCAACCCTAAAATATGGTCTATTTCATTTAAATCCTATGTTAGACCCATACTTGAGTATGGACCTGAAATCTGGAATCCGATGACGAAAACACTTACTAATCAAATCGAAAAAGTTCAAAAGTTTTACACCCTTCATGCTCTTAGAAAATGTAAACGATCCAAAATCGCTTATCAAGATAGGTTAAAAATTTTCGACCTAGAAAGTCTCAGTCTAAGACGTACTCTTTACGATTTAACCTTGATTTATAAAATTATCAATCACTTTACTTCAATCAATCCTAAAACATTAATAACATTTTCCTCCAGAACTAAAAGAAATAAACACAAACAACAAATACAAATTTTAAGGAAAACATCTAAAACTGAAAATTGGATTATAAATAGGTGTACAAATACTTGGAATTCTCTCCCAGAAAACATAATTAACTCGAAAACTCCAAAACAATTTTGGATATTACTTAAAAATCACTTATTAAAAGCCAAGGAAATAAATAATACATTTATATACTACTAAAAAATAGTCTTAATTTCCTCATACATACATATATATTAAATGGGTTACATTCACTGCATGTAAGTGGCACATATATATTTTTTACTAAATTTGTGCCCTTTGATTTTACGTGAATAAATAAATAAAAAAAAAAAAAAAAAAAAAAAAAAAAAAAAAAAAATAAACAAAAATAAATTTAGTGTCCATTCACCAATATTTTGTTTATATTAAAAAAACTTTTGGTGACAACTTTGATTTATATTTAATAGTGTAAAATTTTGATCGTTCGTTCTATTATTCGTTAATTTTTTTTTGGAAAAATTAATTTTGGAAATTAGAATTTTTAGGAATTAATCAAGCTATAAATATAAATATAGTATAATAAAACGAGAAATAACACACGGGAAATAACTTCAGCAAATTTATAAGAGGAATTGTTTTAATTTAAAAACATTCCAGGAAAAACGAATTGTAAAACATTTATTAGTTCAAAAGTTTAAACATTTCCGGAAAGTTGTAAATGGATTGTAAAACATTTTTTAAGTTTATGAACATTCCGGAAAGAAGTATTGTAAAACCCTTTTTCCTAGATTTACGAACTTTAAAAACATTCCGGATACTTGTAAAACATTTGGTTGCTTAAGAATTTAATTTTTCCGGAAAGTTTTGAATGGAGTTTAACAATCCGGAAAATTATAAAACATTTTTATAAGATTGTAAAATTAAAATGTTTCTAGTAATTTTAATATTTTCTTCATTCTTTAATAATTCAAACATTATGATAAGTTGCGGAGTATTCAGAACTGAATGAACTCGAATTTGCTGATTGATCATTTCTTTCATAACGCCGACCAGTACTTCCGGAGGAGTCGAACAATTTAGGAGTCAAAATTGTATATTGATCCTTTCTTTCACATAAGTGAGTTGGGTTCGATCGAGAAGGCAAATCCAATCGAGTAGACATTAACTCAAGATTAGTTGTTAACGTATTGCATATTGAAGGACTTAAGGATTTGTTGTTATACCCATCTTTTCGGGAATTCTTTTTCTCCATTTTGTTGTCGGAAAGTTTTTTAAATGACGAACGCCAGTAGAACAAAGAGAACAGAGCTATCTACAAAATTATTTTTTTTAATGTTTTAAAGAGGTTATGCGTCCAAGCAAATTGTATGCGTCTAATAACTTTACTATTAGGGCTGGACACAAACGGTTACCAGAACCGGAACCGTTAACCGGTGATCTTACCCCAAACCGAGAAAAAATGAACCGGAACCTTAAACCGTGAGGTCGAAACCGGGGATACTAGTTAATAACCGAGTGTGTCCAACCCTATTTACTATGCAAAAAGCTTGATTGGACGTATGAGAATTTAATTGGACTCATGAAATTTTAGATGGGCATATAAGAACTTGATTGGACACAAACCCCTATTGAACGGATAATGAACCTATAACTTAAATAGAGCCTCATTTTTTCTAATTTCCTTGCCTGAGCAATTATAATCACCACAAGCATCCCTACAATTATATTTTGAACAATTCCATCATTGCACAAATAAACCGGCCCATTCGAAAGGTGTTTGGCAACGTTGTCCATGACACTTTTATGAACACAATGTGTCGGAACAGAAAAATGTTCTGGTCGCAAACAAAGAGTGTCTGGTGGGCACATAATTCCAGAACAGTTACGAATGTCTTGATTAACGACCCAGCGCATAGGAGAAAGTGATGATGCTGAGTTGGTATTGCTCATAATTTAAAAATGTTTTATAATCTGATAAAAATTCACAAAATACGGTATTTACTGTATTAGAGCCCCATGGGGCTCTATTTTTCAAATGCCCTCCAAGCGGGGGCCATATTAAGGAGGGGGCTCTAATAGCCTCATGGGGCGTATTTTCAACTGTCCTCCAAACGCGGGGAGGAGGGGCTCTAGTACAGACGGGGGGCTCTATTTTTCAAACACCCTCCAAAAATAGGCTTTATCAAGGAGGGGGCTCTAATTCGAAAGGTTGCTATGATACAGGAAATACGGTATATTGTTATATTATGTAATTTGTAAAATAGTTCTGCAATTGTAATTATAAAATAAACAACTTGAAAAAAGTTTTGAACATAACACGCTGTTTGTAATTGTAAAACATGTTTTGTTTAACTATGTTTTGTTTAAAACTTGTTTAGTTGTTTATTTTATAGGTATTTGTAATTGTAAAATAAACAGCTTAAAAAAAAGTTTTGACGAAAAAACATTGTTTTGTAATTGTGAAACATGTTTTGTTTAACTCTGTTTTGTTTAAAACTTGTCAAGTTGTTTATTTTATATTTTGCAATTGTAAAACAAACTTGAAAAATGTTTTGAACAAACAACGCTGTTTTGTAAAATTGTAAAACATGTTTTGTTTAACTGTGTTTTGTTTAAAACTTGCTTAGTTGTTTATTTTAAAATTACAAAACATTTTCCTTATGTTAGTTAAAAAAACTTTCTTCAAGTTTATTTTAGTGTTGTAATTGTAAAATTAAAATAAACTTGGAAAAAAAAGTTTTAACACTAAAAACACAACAATGTTTTAGTCAAATGATATAGTTTAACTAGAATTGTTTATTTTGATATTATGTTGCAGAAACTAGAAAAATAAACAAAAATAAGCTTAGTGTCCATTCAGCAATATTTTGTTTATATTCAAAACTTTTAGTGACAAATCTAAAAGATTTATAGTTTTTTAGATTTAAAAAATTTCGATCGTTGCTCTGATATATTTCACTAATTTTTTTTGAAACCTAAAAAAGTTTTGAAAAAAAACCTAAAATTTTTCATAAAATTAACAATTGAGCGAGCATTCTATTTGAGGATTTTTTTATTTTTTTAGCTCTATTTTTTCAACTGAAAGGGGATCAAAAAATAAGGTGGTCGACCAAACATTTAGAGTTAATTTGGCACCCATATACTTTTAATGAATTAATTTTTGACCTACTTTAAAATTATTTATAAAAATTTTAATACAAACTTCCAAAAAAATAGTAAAATTTTATTTTAAGAAAAATCTTTTATTTATTTAATCTGAATTAGAAAAAAGGTCGATAATCGAAGCAAGATATGAAATAGGTATTTAATAAAGCCAAAATAAGGCTTTAGTTAGAATGTTTATTTTTATAGGGAAAGTTAAGATGCCCATTTTCTCTTATTTTTATTGTTAGAAAAGACCGGATTTTTTTCCCGTACCGGATTCTGATTTCGTGAAAGATAAAGGTTCCCAGGTTAAAGGTTCACAATTTCTTAATTTATTTTAGAGAAAGGGGAACAAATAATGTGTATATTAGTACAATTAACAATTTTTTAATTAACAGATCCAAGGCTTCACACCAAAAAGAAAATTTTTGCAACAAGAAATTTTAAAAAAAATTTTTTGATTTTTTGGTGTTTCGGACAATTTAAAAATGTCAATTTATAAAGAATCCGAAAAAAAATTTGCGGACAAAAAAATGTCCGCAAAAAATTTGCAGACATAAAAAAATGTCCGCAAAAAAATTTTGCGAACAAAAAAATGTCTGCAAAAAATTGTCCGCAAAAAAAATTTGCAAACAGATTAAAAATGTCCGCAAATTCATCAAAAAATTTTTTAACTAAAATTTCCTTTAATTATTCCAAAAAATAAAGCCTCGTCCCTTCCCTCCCCCTCAACTATTTAAAATATCCCAAGGATCATCTTTTGGTTTTGTTGGCGTCTTTTTCTTTTCCATGGCTTGTTTATTCAATCCTTGTTGTTTTTTAATTACATTTTCACCCGATTTTTCAAGAGAAATTAATGAAGGAGATGAACTACTTGATTGATACAAATTATCTGGAACACCCAATTCATTCTCATTTTCAACTATATTGTTTAATCCACTTTTTGCAGAATTTGAAGAATATTTAGTTGATGGAATTCCTGTAAAAATAAAAAACTATAGAATTTTTGTGAAAAAATTTTTTTCAAGTCATAAAATCTTTTTCTTGACACTGATCTAATTTATGAATCCAATAAACCTTTACGAGTCCCATGTAATATTTGAGATATCAACCTCAGAGTATTAGGCCGTAATGCTTATTGGGCCGATAAAGCCTTAATTAGACTCATAAGACCAAAGTAAAAAACTATTCCAATTAAGTTTTTCTATGTTAGAATTTTTTCTGTGATTATATAACGAGCAACGTCTTTCCCGTTCTTAAGAATCTACTATACATGGCTTTGAAGGAAGAATATAAAACGTAGAGTTGTTGGCTTCAACAATTCAGCGGTTAACCAAAAATCTTTCATCTTTCAATGCGGTTTAGAACCAACAACCATATTCACTAAAATACTACCAGAAATATAGCCCAAACAAGTTCAGACCAACCCCAATTTTTTTACGAAAAATTTTTTTAAAAAAACCTGAAGTGAGTTTATTTGTTTCTTCCCCAATTTTTTGTTGTCGATACAATTTCTTATATTTTTCATCATCCAAATTTTCACTTTCATTAACTTGGCTCGTATTTTTCAAGTCAGATAAGTCATCATATTGACTTGAAAATTGAAAAAAATTATATTTCTATTGAAAAAAAATACTCTTTAAATTGTCCACCACTAAAACCATGCAAACTTGTTGATTTTACAAATTGATTAATTCCACTAAACGATTTTTGACCAAATTCTGTTGCAGAATTTAATAAATTGCCAAAACCTCCAAGCAATTTTCCTTCTCCAATCTGAAATTATTTTTTAATTTTGAGCTTTTTTTCCTTTTTATCAATTAGAAAATACAACAAGCTCATGCCCAAAGTTATTTTGAAAAGGTTCTCGACTAGAGAAATACGCAGGAAAGGTTCCAAAAAAACTACTTACCGATATTTCGCGTATGAAAGGGAGAAAGCCAAGGACGAGGTCAAATTCAATCAAAAAAAATTTTCAGGAGGGAGTGACTTCACTCCACTAATGTGCATGAGAGAGGGTAAGATATACATATCTTGAAGTGGAAAGAATAGATTCGATAATTCCCCAAAATCAGGATCAAGACACTTTACTTAAACCACATTAAAAAGTCACAAAACAAGGAAAGCCGCTGTCAGAGCCAAAAGTAAAAACCCAGAAATTAAAAAAATAAACCTTGCTCGCAACAGTTTCACTCAACTCAACAGCTTTTGTACCCGTTTGAGAAGTCAAATCTTTAGCCATTCCAGCAGCTGAAGTAGCCCCTTTACTTAACAAATTCCAACCCATTGAAAGGGAGTTTAAAGCACCCGTTAACATTTCAGATTGAGAATTGGAGTCAAAACTCATTTTTTGTTGAAATTGGGGATTGCCAAAGCCGGAATAACGAGAATTACTAAAAAATAAAAAAGTCAAAATTATCGATTTTTAGAGTGATAAAAATTCGTTCGAAATTTTATAACAAAAAATCTTTAGTGCAATCGCATTATCTCCCGCAAAGTCGCAATATTGGCCCAATATAATTGACCAGATAACTTTGACCATTTTTTAGAGGAAGAAAAAGGTAAAAAAACATTGCGGATAAACATTTGCGGACATGGGAGGAGATAATGCGATATGTAGTGTTAAGTTAATTCAAAAAATAAAGAAAAGCCAGAAAAATCCAAAATTTTCGCGTTGAAAATAAACAATTAAAACCTTTGCCCAGAATTTTGAAATCCATCAAAGTCATCATTATGTAAACTCTCCACACGTCCACTGCCCAAAGGTTTAGACATTTCACTTTTAATAGGTTGATAATTACGAGCTGGTGACGTTTCATAGGACCATACTTTGCCTTCAGATTCAGTGCTGACCTTGAAAAAAAATTTTCGAAAAATTTTAAAAAATGGTCTCAAATTTTAAAAAATGCTCAAAAGGGTCAATTCCCCAAAAATAAAAAAGAACCTTATCTCTCAGCAGAGCGGCAGCTTTGGAGTTATATTTTTCGATTATAGTCCATTCCGGCTTGAAATCTGGTTGGGATTCCAAAAATTCCCTCGCCTTTACATTTCCTCCAACCTTCATTTTTTCTAATTCGCTATCTTTCCATTTGTCCATCGTTAGGGAACGAACAAAACTTTTAGATTAAATATATTTTTTTAATTGAAAAATTTGAAGAATTTCACATAGACAAAACATTTGACTTAAAAGTTTATAAAATAGTCTGACACCGAATTTAAAGCACTCAAGTAGGACCTTAGTCAAGATTTTTTGGGAGAGGGCCAAGGAGGAGAATTTTTCTGCCAAGGCTGTCGGCGCAAAAAATTCACGCCTCAGGCAAAAATTTTTTGAATTTTGAAAACTAAGACCTACTCCACCTGGCTACGGACCCGCCCTCAAAAATTAAGAACTACACTCAATTTTAGTAGAATGTAGACAATTTAAATTTATTCCAAACCAAAAGAAAATTAAAAGGCAAGTGATGGATTAGATAAAAAGAAAAAAGTCGGGGATGAAATTTAGCAGATTCGAAATTTTATCAGGATCGGGTTTCGAAGCAAAAAAAGAGTCGGGACTTCCGATCTCGGTAATTCGGCCGTTTCGGCTTTCAGGGATCTCGGCCCATACCCGCTATAACCTCAACAAAATTATAAAATCTAAATAAAACCTGATATGTACGCCAAGCCCTCTATGCTTCCCAGAACATTCCAGACAAATCCAAATGCCATAAGTAACACTAGCCCATTGAGGATTTAATGCTTGACATTCAAAACAAAACTGGAAAAAAATTAAAATTTTTTAATAAAATTTAAAAAATACGTTATTCTCATCAACAGGTCTAAGATCTTTTAATATTCGTCTGGTACGTGGACTTGCCATAATTTTAGTTTTTTGAATGTCTTATGAATTTTTTTGAAAGTTCTAAAAAATTTTAAAGATTAAAAAAAATTTTTTTAGAAGCAAAAAAGGAAGCAGAACGACGGTAAGTATAGAGCCCGGCACGGGACGGGAAACCGTACGGGATTTTACGGGATCCCGTCCCGGAATCCCGGGTTTTTAGCGACAAACGGGATTTACGGGATTAATCCCGCGGGATCCCGTCCCGTACAAAATGTTGAAAAAATCCCGTTCTGGGGTCCCGGGAATGCGATTTTGCCGGAACCTAGTTAAGTAAAACTCTGCTGAGACTCTAGTGTCACTTCCGGAAATAAAAAAGTTTCGAAACGAATAGCGGCTAAAATATGTTCAAATTTTAATTAGCCCAAAATTGGCTTGTCTTTATTTTTTTCTTTTTATTTTCTTTCTGATTTTCATAAAGCATAAATTAATTTCTATAAAATTTCTCTTGTAACTTTTATTTTTAGCTAATAACAAATAAAAAAACAATTAAAAATGTCTTCTTTAAAAGTGGCTGTTCGTGTTAGGCCTTTTGATAGTCGAGAAATACGTTTGTTTTTATTTTTCTAATTTTAATTAAATTTTTTTTTCTTAGAATTATCTTCCAAATGTGTGATCGATATGTTAGACCAAACCACATGTAAGTACTCTTAAATATTTTTTAAAAAATCTGTTTTTAGTGGTTATAGGACTAAGTTTTCCGTCTTTACTCTCCGCTTTTATTCGTTTATAAATAGGAATACAGAAAAGACCCTATTAGTCTAAATTGTCTATTCTATTTTGCACCTCAAATTGTCCGCAAAAAATGTCCGCAAATTTTTGCGGACTTTTTTTGCTGTCCGCAAATTTTTGCGGACATTTTTTTCTGTCCGCAAATTTTTGCGGACATTTTTTTTCTGTCCGCAATTTCCCTTTTTGTCTTTTATTTTGTTTAATAATTTATCTTTAAGTTATCACAAGCAGCTCCAATCAAACATACAGTTTTGAGTTTGATTATTCTTATTCATCATTTGACAAAACTTCTGTGAATTATGCTTCCCAGGAAATGATTTATGATGATATTGGTTTTTTAATTTTTTAAGTAAAAATAATTTTCAATTTCTCAAGGCTCTGAAATGCTTGACCACGCTTTTGATGGGTTAATTTTTATTTTTTTATTTGTTAATTTTTTATTTTTTGTCCGCAAAATTTTGCGGATTTTCTGCCTAAATTTTTTTCAGAAATTTTTTTTTGCTGTCCGCAAAATTTTTGCGGATTTTTTTATGTAAAAAAAATTTTCTAAAGATACAATGTTTGTATATTTGCTTATGGTCAAACTGGTTCTGGAAAGTCATATACAATGAGTAAAATTTGATTTTTTTTTGTTTTTTTATAATAAATTTTAGTGGGTAAGATGGACGATCTTGAAGAAATGGGAATGATTCCAAGACTTTGCCGCGAAATTTTTAGTCGGATTAGTGAAAACAGAGAGAATCCGCAACTTGAATATAATATAGAGGTAAAACAGTGTTTTTTGTTTAAATGGGGCTGTGAAAGATTTTTTTGGGTGTTTTTGAGACTTCCTAGATGTTGGGTGATTTTGAGTTTTTTGAGGGTGTTTTTTGATTTTAAGTGAAGCCTGAGATTTGGTCTCGTCTTTTTCAAGTTTTTAGGGATGTAGGGTAATATTGAAGCGTACAGACCCCTTTTTTTCCTCCCCAATTTTCCCCAAATATTTTTACAAAATGGTCAGACTTTTTCCTTTCTTCTCCTCCTTTTTGTTTTTTGCATGTGCTTGCACTTGTATGAAATTAAATAATCCTTTTTGATTGATTGAAGGCAAAAATTAGAAAGACAAATTGGATGGAAGAAAGGAAAAAGCCTGGATATAGTATAGTATACCGGTGGAAAGGTTTCGATATAAGACCCATACCATTCGATTCGTCTCGGCGAGCTGAGTCGAATGGTACCACTCACCCCAAAATTGTGCTTACTCCCCCCTATGGTTTTTCGATTTTCGGGGACCTATATCTCGGCCCACAGGCATCTCCGGAAAAAAAGAGTGGTACCGTTCGACTCAGCTCGCCGAGACGAATCGAATGGTATGGGTCTTATATCGAAATCTTTCCACCGGTATACTATACTACAGCCAAAAAGCCTAACCATTTTGTAAAAATATGAGAGGAAAAAAGGGGGTCTGTACGCTTTTACCGAATATAGTCGAGGTTGTGTGAAGGTTGTTTTCGGCACAAATATGGGAGTGAATCTTTGGAAATTTTTGATTCTGACAACAAACGGGAAAAACTTAAAAATCTCAGCTGGGAATTGTCTTGAGTCTTTGAACATCTTCTGTCGAAAATTTCTGGCGAAACTTTCGTCGAAGGATAAAATTATTAAATTAATAATTTGTCTTTTTTGTATGACATCACTTTTGATCATTATCGCCTATTTGTGCTCTCTCTATATTTTTGCCCTTTTTCCATAAATGGATGAAATTATCCATTTTTATCTAAAATTCCAATCTTTTTAATAATTTCATCCATATTTTCACTTCCGCCCAACTTTTTAACCGCAAACATATAATTTTCTACTTTTTCCATTGCCCACATTCCATACCACACACATCGTTTATGGCCTATTTAAACATAATCATTTTCCACACATTTTAAGTTCTGACTTACCCACACCTAATCATTCCATATCTTTTCCAATCCCATAACCTTTTTCCAAAACCACACAAATAATTGTAAATTTATATTAATTAAACAAATATTAAAATATTCTTTATTCTTTTGTTTAATATTCTTTGAGAATATTCGCCTAACTTTCGTCTACGTCTAAACTTGGCCGTCTAAAACCTTTTGCCTCATCGTTTAATTTGGCCTGTCTTAATCTTTGGGATTAAGACATTCACCTCATCAACACCCTTAACCCCAACTTCTTATTTTAGCGGCTAAATTTCTCTGATCCCTCGTCAGTGGATTCCCGACCTGAGAAGTTTGCCGTTAAAATTGGTGCCACGACCCGGGAGCCGCCGTCGACATTCATCAGTCAACACAAATTCAACAACAATTCGACTATATATCGTCTGCGCCGAAAGGATCAGCCGTCGCCAAAGACCCACGCTAGAAAAAGATAATATCGACAACGGCGAAATCGACAAAACAATATTCGAACCAGATCCGTCAACGAATTCAGAATGGTTTGGCCTAATCCTTATTCTTCGAGTTGTAATTGGGATTATCCAATACCTTAGACCACTTCAACTACATGTATTCAAAACGTCTAAAGCTTATATCAAACAACCTATGCACGATTCTTATAGCAAACAAGACGACAAAGCAGTATGTATCTGGAGTATACGACATGATCAATATTCATTGTTGGCAAACTTTGCAACATACCAAACTAAAATCAACAACGACGAATCATCACACAAGGCACCGATTAACGACGATGGACGGTTATTCTTAAATCCCCGCGCCAAATTTTGCAACGGACCTGAAACGTTGATGAAGAGTGGAATATGGATACTCGGCAAAACGTCAGTTGGACTGGAATACATTTTTATGCAACTATCAAACATCTCGAATTTATCGTCAAGTGGAAGCAACACAGCAATCGACAAAACCAAACCATTTTCGTCTACGTCTATATCACCAGAATATGCGTTTGGATGGAATTTATTTGGAATTGCTGATGCTTCGACTAATACGCCTAAACCCTTTCGTCCGTTACAACAACAAAAACGACTGCGCCTATTTTACCATTCAATTCAACGCCTTCCATTCAACTTACTTTGTGTGTGGCCGGCCGGATGTTCCTTCCAGAAAAAGGAAAGATTGCGTCAAATGGACAGAATTTCGACGAATGAATATCTACATTTGACCCACCACCACCCTCAAGAAATTGGAATGGAAGAAATCAGTAAAGAAATTTTGTAAAATTTTTTATAATCTATTTGCCTTTCTCCCTCATTCATATATCTGTATCTTTCCCTCTCAATTTCTTAATCTCTTTTTATGTAATTTTTCACGTTTGGAATGGATGAACATCAACTAAAATGTCATCAACAATGGGTCCTCATCAAATGGCTCAACATATCGTCTAAACGTCTAGACTTTAACCTTAACCGTCTAAACCTTAACGTCAAAACTCAACAAAAGAAAACCACAACAAAATCGTCAAATTTAAATAAAAAAGTGATCATCAAAAGCATCTTCAAATTAATGTTATTGGCGAAGCCAACCAAATTAAATTAAATAAGAACGTGGTGAAACATCATAATCTTAAATTTCAACCTCATCAAATAAAAAGCAAACCTTTAAACCAAATATTTATAAACAACTTATCAAATGCAAAATCGTCAAATGGAATATCGACTAAAACTTTAAATCGACTAATCAGCATAATATTAACAACTAAGGACCCACAGAAGTGCCTGCCCGCGGCAATGTCGAAAATTTCTGGCGAAACTTTCGTCGAAGGATAAAATTATTAAATTAATAATTTGTCTTTTTTGTATGACATCACTTTTGATCATTATCGCCTATTTGTGCTCTCTCTATATTTTTGCCCTTTTTCCATAAATGGATGAAATTATCCATTTTTATCTAAAATTCCAATCTTTTTAATAATTTCATCCATATTTTCACTTCCGCCCAACTTTTTAACCGCAAACATATAATTTTCTACTTTTTCCATTGCCCACATTCCATACCACACACATCGTTTATGGCCTATTTAAACATAATCATTTTCCACACATTTTAAGTTCTGACTTACCCACACCTAATCATTCCATATCTTTTCCAATCCCATAACCTTTTTCCAAAACCACACAAATAATTGTAAATTTATATTAATTAAATAAATATTAAAATATTCTTTATTCTTTTGTTTAATATTCTTTGAGAATATTCGCCTAACTTTCGTCTACGTCTAAACTTGGCCGTCTAAAACCTTTTGCCTCATCGTTTAATTTGGCCTGTCTTAATCTTTGGGATTAAGACATTCACCTCATCAACACCCTTAACCCCAACTTCTTATTTTAGCGGCTAAATTTCTCTGATCCCTCGTCAGTGGATTCCCGACCTGAGAAGTTTGCCGTTAAAATTGGTGCCACGACCCGGGAGCCGCCGTCGACATTCATCAGTCAACACAAATTCAACAACAATTCGACTATATATCGTCTGCGCCGAAAGGATCAGCCGTCGCCAAAGACCCACATTCCCAGCAGAACAAACGACTATAGTTGAACCAGTACAGCGACCTCAAGCCGTCCAACTGTACACCTTGAATTTATTTTATTGGCAGCCCTTTCGTCTAATCAACTCGTCTAAAATTCTAAATTCGTCTATTGGTTAATTCCTTCAACGTATTAACAACACTTAACCTTTCAACATGTCACGAATACTTCGTCAAGAGCTCAGTGTAGCGGTGACGTCACTCGTAGAACGTCTAAAGAATGCCGATTCGTATATCGACAAAATCAAATCGACACCCACGGAAGAGGAGGAACGGGAACTCCTAATCGAAGTTGAGATGGAACTCGTGCATCTATCTCAGAGAACCGAGAAGCTCCAATCAGTTATTCGTCACTATCATCAGTACATGGAAGGTTTAAGCGAAGCGAAGCAAGATGAGGAAGAAAATTTTTTGGTCAACTACCTGACCGACGACGAGAAATCAGATCGAAATGAAATCCAACATCATTGGCCAATCACCAGTTTGGTCAACCGGGCAAATGAGGCAATCAACCGTCTAAAGGCTTATCGAATCATGCGTCAAATGACTGATAGCAACAGTAATAATTCACCAAGTGCACAAGGATCTATCAACCTCAACGAATCGCAACGAACACATATTATTCGGCCAAACCAAGAAAGACATCAGTTATATTCGGATGAAGAAGAAGAAAGAGAATGGACGCAGCAGCGACGAAACGTACGACAAAACGACAGAAATACTTACGAACCAGAATTGAGAATTCGTCAGGAACCGTCACAAACTACCTTTTCATCGTTGAATGCACTTAAAGTCGACAGTGTTCGTCTACCTACGTTCGGTGGCGACATCAGAGAGTGGCGTACATTTTGGGCAGCATTCGAACATGCCGTGGATCGACAACCGTACCCTATCTTCCAGAAACATCTTTTGCTCTTGCAAAACCTCAGAGAAGGATCGGCAGCTCGTGAAGCTATTATTGGATACCCACCATCAGATACCAATTACCCAATCGTCAAAGAAATTTTGAAGGATAAATATGGTAACGACGATCAACTCAGCGACCAATTAGAAGCACAACTCTTAAAATTACAGCCAATTCGAAACAACCTTCGAGAATTGTCCCAATTTCAAAAGGAAGTCGAACGGATTTGTTTGCAGCTTGAAAGTTTAGGAGGTCCAAAACAACGATTCATCTGCAACATCATCAAATCAAAACTTCCTCAAGAAGTCTTGCAACAGCTCATCACAGAGGAGCTGCGTTCGAGAAGAAAGTGGGATGATACGGATCTTCGGAACGCCTTAGCGGATATCGTCAAAATACGACAAGCGACGGAAGAATGTATAGCATCGTTTCAATATGAACCACGAAGAGAACAACATCGAAATCAAAATAATTATGAAGCTTATGGAAGGGAAAGATTCGAAGTACGACAAGAAACA